GCCTCTCTCTGTGTTTGTTGCTGCGATGGTGGAAAGCTGATGGAACATAGACGTAAGGCTATTTGAACTCTTTATTTGCCACATTTACAATATTAATAACAGTATTTCCAGAAGTTGTCACATCAAGTAAAAGATCTTCATTCCAGGCTGTCTTTGGGGGCCAAACGGAGACGGGATGCGTGCATTTAATAAATTGTAGTCTCAAGTAGTCATTTTTGTAAATAATTAGTTTCAGTGAAAGAATAAGTTAGCATATTGTATGCATCTAATGTTGCAAATGTACATACAGCAAACTTTACTATTAATCAACAGTCAAGCACCGCACATAGCGCCTCATACATAATGAATTGTGCTTAAACCTCATGGGTTTCTTGATAGAAAAATAAAAGAAAACACAAGTGTAGTAAGCTTTTGAATAAAATTTAACTAGATTGCTCTGCATTCTGTAATTGTTTTGGAATCATTAGGGACTAGATAATTCATCTATAGTTTTGGGGTGTTTTTATCTTCATCTGTCAAGGAGCAGAGACTTTTAATGATATGTTAAAACGCTGATAAAGGTGAAAAGACGCTGTATTCCTTTTAACGATGCCAATATTTAAGGGAGAAAGCCAATGGGTTGCTATTCAGTACTCCGGTCTGCCAAGTGTACTATTTAGGTTGACTTTTTAAACACACTTTTTATTGTCGTCCATATAGTTTTAAGAAGAAAACATATTATCTGTATTTTTAATCCTTTCTCATGTATTTCTTACATTGCTGCTATTGAGTGTTGTCACATCATTGCCAATTCATGGTAACCCTGTATAGGGTTTCCAAGGAGCGGCTGGTAAGTTAGAACCACCAACCTTATGGTTCAAACTAACCTTATGGTCCAGTGCTTAGGCTATAGTGCCACACCAGGATTCCTACTTCTTATGTGTTGTTGTTGTGAGTGTTGTTACTGCTTCTTACGTACGGGGACCTTTAAAACTCCCCCTGGAATTTTCTCAGGAACTTTGGTGGATGATTTTTAGTGGGCCACCGAGTCAGTTCTAGCTCATAGGGTTTCCCAGGTTGTAAATCTTTACAGGAACAGACAGCCTCATTTTTCTCCCACGGAACAACTAAAAAGTAGATTTGAACTACTGACCTTGCGGTTAACTGCCCAGCTCGTAATTCACCATGCTCCCAGGGCTCCTTAGCAGTCTGGTGTAGGTTCATTTGAGACTTAAAGTTTCAATGTTCACTAAAGTTAGATATCCAATTTGAACAACACCCCCACTGGTGGTGGTGGTGATGGTATGCCATGGAGTCGGTTCCGACTCATAGCGACCCTGTACAGGGTTTCCGAGGCTGTAAATCTTTATGGGAGCAGAAAGCCTCATCTTTTTCCCGTGGAACAGCTGGTAGTTTCAAACTGCTGACCCTGAGGTTCACAGCCTGATTCGTAACCCCTATGCTACCAGAGCTCCTTAACATCCCCATTACCACCCAGAAAGTGAATAAATTGGGATCCAGCTAAACTTGAAATGACCCCTTACCTTCCTGCTGTTAGTGTTGGGACATGAATGGTTGAATGACCTCTGATGGGAGCATCAATCCGGAATTCTTGGGTTCAGAGTTGGGGGAGTGGCATGCCCGTCCATTACAAGCACACAGTAGAAGCTTGGTCAGCATTTGTTGACTCCCTGAAACACTGGCTCCCCCAGGAAGCCCACCGGGTTGCTTCTGTCAGACTAGGAGTAGGCACCTTCTTTGTGACCCAATTGCTTGCGATACCTGAAAGAGTGCCTCTTCTGTTTGTACAAAGACTAACATTTATTGATCATACCTAGGCAAACCTGCTTCAAAAGACCCACTTAAAGTGTTCAAGAATAAAGATGTCACATCATGCTGGGTAAAGTGAAGGGTCAGTGACAAAGAGGAAGACCCCCAATGAGATGGACTGGTGCCATGGCTGCCACAGTGGGCTCAAGGCCAACAACCCTTGTGAGGATTGTGCAAGCCTGGGCCGTGTTCCCTACTGTTGGGCATGGGTGAGGGTTGTGCAAGCCTGGACCATGTTCCCTACTGTTGTGCATGGGTCGCTGTGAGTCAGAGCTCACTCCTCAACCTCTGGCAACAGAAACTATCGTGTTTTACATAATCTCAAGTATATTTCTGATCTTCCATACCTACTTGCTCGTTTTTTCCCCTGCTTCGTCACAGTTGAATCAGGACTTCAACCCAGTTCTGTCTGATTCAGTCGTGACCAATCAAGGAAAATTGTAACAGACCCAAATTTATAAAATGTGACGTACTGGAATGATAACCAAAACAGGAAAAATTATGGGTCATCAGCCTGCTAGAAACATAATCTCCCACTTAGAAAGCAAAGGCTGTGTGTCTATAGCACTGCCTAACGAAATCTCTGGAGCAGCCAAGTCAGAAACAGCATTGCCTTACTCCAAGATGGCGGCTGACTGAGCGCGCCTGGTTCTCCAGGGCCCTGGCTGTAATCCCACTTCCCACATCACACCGCTTTTGTGAAGCTCCCATTCTGTGTTTGACACTTACTTTTCCCATTCCATTTATTCCTATACACCCACATTTTGCAGGCCCTGGTCTGTTCTGAACTGGTTCCGAGAACTGAGCTGGTTACAGATGGTACAGAACTGGGCCGGGTTTCCTTACGTTGTGCGTGGGGTTGCTTTGAGTCAGAGCTGACTCCTCAACCTCTAACAACAGACGTTTGTTTTCAGAGTTTCTGACCTCTGGTTGGCCAGCGGGCCCGGAAAAGTACCAGTTGGAGGAGAGGAAGCTCTGTAGGTCTTCACTGAATCCTCAGGGTGCTGGACAGGTCAAGTGGAGACAGCCAGTGACCTTGGCCTCACTCTGCCGCCTTCCTTTTCCCTCCCTGTCCAGTTGGCTTACAGACGCCTCAGGCACAGGCAAGACTGCCCTGAGCTAGCTGTCTCTGCCGTCAGCCACGTTTGCCCTGGCTCCCTAATAAATGGTTCAGGTGAATGCGGTGGTCACAATGCCCTTTACAGAAAGCAAGGACTTTTCACTTCTTGCTCATCTCCAGGTCTCCTGCTGGATAGGAACCATCTGAGCGTAAGACGCAAGATGCCCTGGCTCAGGAGTGCCAGTCGTGGACAGTGCGGTGTGCTGACTGTAGCTGTTTCAGAACTTATCTCTGCTGCCATTTTCAGTCTATGCTGACTCGCGGACCTGTGAAACTGGGTTCTCTGCGGCAGTCCTGGAGGTCTTGGCCTGCCCTGTGTGCCATGTCCCGGGGGCCAGAACAGCATCTTTGTCAGCGTTAGTGAGAGCTTTCCCATGCTGAGGGTGTGTGTGGTGCTGCATGCTGCTAAGGCTCTGGACCCCCACTCTCGCTCTGAGTCTGGCCAGCGTCTCCTGGTGTCTTCCTGCCAGCGGCTTTTCCAGCTTTGCTGAGGGACACATCTTGTATGGATGCCCTACCAAATTCCATTTAACTTCAGAATACATGTTTTTGGAACTCTTTCCTGGAGTCACTCTCCATTGTCATCAGCGAATGCTCCCAAGTCCTGAGACTAAAGCTTTACCCTGTGAAGAAAGGCGATTAGACATGGGCTGGGCTCATCACAGAGGCAGGCGCCTTTGCATGCCCAGCGCTCTCAGCCCTGGTCATCTTGTGATCTCTCCTCCGGGTGGAGCTCCAGATGCTGATGGATGGGAAGGACTGACGAGGTACCCTGGCCTGGTGCCTGCAGCAGCTGGGGCTCACGCCAAGTGCATTTCATTGTTGTGTCTTTGGGGAGTTGAATCCATTCATAGATGAGAATTTAGGTACAGGTTACTGCCGAAAAGAAAAACTTTGAGGAACCCCAGAGTCTAAATGCTTCTGTCTCCCTCCACTCTGGTTGAGTTTTAAAGCTGACCACATCTGCACCTTGGGGAGAGAGCAGAAAATAGGGTGCCCAACATGCATTTTCAGCTGTCCTCTGTTAAGCCGGACACACATCAACCCTTGACGGAATGTTTGACCGTCAGCAATGTGTCCTGAATCTCCTAGGCCGTGCTTGCTCCTCCCAAATAGAGACAGCTCAGTACAGAGCACGGCCATGACTACTGTGATGTCTTCAACAGACAGCAGTCACACTGTGACATCCATAGTGAGGATCTCTGTGAAGTGAGGTCACACTGTGATATCCGCAGCGGGGAGGATCTCTGTGGAGCCAGGTCACACTGTGACACCTGGGGGGAGGATCTCTGTAGAGTGAGGTCACCCTGTGACACTCAGGGGGGAGGATCACTGTGGAGTGAGGTCACACTGTGACATCCGGAGGGGGGAGGATCTCTGTGGAGCCAGGTCACACTGTGACACCTAGGGGGAGGATCTCTGTAGAGTGAGGTCACCCTGTGACACTCAGGGGGGAGGATCACTGTGGAGCGAGGTCACACTGTGACATCCATAGTGAGGATCTCTGTGGAGTGAGGTCACATTGTGACACCCGGGGGGAGGATCTCTGTGGAGCCAGGTCACACCGTGACACCTGGGGTGAGGTTCTCTGGGGAGAAAGGTCACACACTGACACCTGTAGTTTAGGGGACCCCCACTGATGCACATTCTGCATACCTGTCTTCTCAGGAGGCTTATATGTTGCTGTGATGCTGAACGGGTTTCAGCAGAGCTTCCTGACCAAGAGACTAGGAAGAAAAGTTTGGCGATCTACGTCTGAAAATTAGTCCGTGAGAAAACCTCCTATGGAGTACACTGGTCTGGTCTGCCACAGCTCATGGGGATGGTGCAGGACTAGACAGGGTCTGTCCATGGTGCCCAGGGGCACTGTGAGCTGGGGGTCCAGGAGGCAACAGCACCAGCGGTCCATGGTGGTGCCTGCACTACCCAGTGTCCTCTCCCAGACAGCCATGGAGTTGCTGACAGGTGCTTGCATTTCAGTGGCTAAGTGGATGCTTTGTGCATGAGGAGGACTTGACAGTAGTGATGCCATGTGCCTGGCCCTGACAGCCTGCAGTTATTGGGGTTTCAGGGTCCCGAGGTAGGGAGCCTGGTGCACTCCTCAGTAATAAAAGTGGCTGTTGGGGAACCCTCCACCCCACAGCTCTATCAGGGATGAGGAAAGCGGGGTTGGAAGAGAGGGCAGGGCAGTGAATAAATTTCATTTTATTATAGAAATGGAAATTTGTGTCATGGCTTTAAAAATCGGATTTTATGTGTGTGTTTAATGCTATTCATTTTAAATTTCGTATCATAAATCCTTGCTTCGGAACCAAAGCTGTTTAATTACATTTCACCCATGAATAGTTATCTAATGCCAATAGAGAAAGAGTTAAAAGGGGGAGCTACAGAGTAAATCAGAGGTTGAGATCTTTAGCACAAGCATAAAAAATCAATTTAAGATGAATTTTACTACTATAAAAATTCTTCACATATCCTTTTAAGAGAGGGAAATGCTAGGAAACACATTTCAATTCCCTGAGCGCTGTGGAGGATGGAGTTCCAGAATGTGCAGCGCCTTGGTGGGCTGGGACACCCCATTGCTCAGGGGGAACCTCTGAGTGGAGAGTTATAACTCTCCAGAGAAAGCAGATTGTGATCCAGGCAGAAACCCCACCTCTGTTTAAAACACCACCCCTTGCCCCTGAATGGGGCGCATGCCCAACTGCCTCCAATAACAACTGCCCCCTTTTCCATGAGACCAGAACTGGACGGTGTCCAGCTACCAGTATTGGGATCAAAGATATGGTGTGATGCCATGGGATAAGCATTCCACTGTAAGATCAGTTTGAACCACAAGATCAGCCATTCAAACTCACCAGCCGCTCCTCAGAAATGCTATACAGGGTTGCTATGAGTTGGAACCAACTCCACGGCACAAAAAGCGTATAGCTACCAACCATTCTCTGGTAGCGTAGTGGTTACAAATCGGGCTGCGAACCTTAAGGTCTGCAGTTCGAAACTACCAGCCACTCCGCAGGAGAAAGATGAGGCTTTCTACTCTCGTAAAGATTTACACCCTCGGAAACCCTGTACAGGGTCGCTATGGGTCGGAACCGACTCGACGGCACTTAACAACAACAACAACAACAACCAACCATTTAGATCAAATATTCTACAAAAGAATCCTAATCAAAGGAGGGGAAATGCTGAAGTTTCAGATGTTCTTAGAATCCAAACATTCTAGAGCCATGAAGGCCAAAACCACCTGAAATTATAACTGTGAGGAAATCTCTAAATCTTGAAAGGAAACTGTCCCCTGAAGTCATCTTTGAGCCAAATAATGCTTTCACCTAATTAGAAAAGGGAGTTCTGGTGTGACACTGTGGGATTAAAGCACTAGATCACAAGGTCGATTTGAACCACAATGTCAGTGGTTCAAACTCACCAGTTGCTCCTTGAAAACCTCAGACAGGCTCGCTATGAGTCGGAACCACCTCGACATTAACAACAATTAGAAAAGATTGCATTTAGCACTACGCTCTAATAACACATCTCTCTGGGATCCAGTAGACAGCGACAACTTATAAGGATAGCTGACAAGTTGAGGACCAGTGAGTCTGTGTCAGTGATGCTGAAAGTTTGGAAAAGGTTGTCAAGGAAAACAGTAGGCTCAAAGAATGTCCCTACTGTGTGGAACTCATTCAAGTGTGGCATGTCTTTTCTTGTGTACACTTTAAAATATACTTCTTGTATATGTTAAAGAATGATAATGAAGCATGTAGGAAAATAAATAAAACGGCCCCTCTCCCTGAGCACAGGTTCGCTTCCCAAGGTGCAGAATGGCCAGGCCTTGGAGACAAGCCACGTCCTGGGTAGGCTGGCTGAGCCAAGTGGTTGGTCCTGAGCTTGTGGGACCTCATGCTTCCTCGGGAGGGCATAGGGATTGTTGGGGCTCACTCAGCACACGTTGGAATAAGACTTCCTTCTGGGCCAGCATTGTGCTTGGATTGTACTGGCCATCTGGTTGCATATGAGGTGGGCCCTGGGCCTGCGTGCCTCAAGGTGGATTGGGATGACAGTCTGGGGTGTAGTTCACCTCCTCGCTCCCTTTCTCCTTCTATTCCCAGGGTACTTCACCTGCCCCGTGGTTATTCTTGCACATCCATGCCTCCTGGTGCACTTGCATGCAGGCACGGGACTCATCGTCTCTAGAATCCTCCTTTCAACAATAGTCTGAGTCTCCTAAAATGGGGAGCTGGGGACCAGGTAGGCTGTCATCCCAGCATCCCCAAAGTTGACTCCTCTGGGGTCCTCACCCTGGTGCACTTCTGGCTGAGGGTGCACAGCCAGGCCCCGGCCCCTTAGAACTCCATGGATTCTGCTCAGGTGACGGAACTCTGCTATTCCTCTTGCAGCCCAACTGTGGCCCTGGCGTCTCCCGAGGACACCATACAGCCGCTGACCCAGTGTGCGGCCTGGCTGGAGGCCTACTTCCGGGACCCCGCGAGCATCGACACCTTCCCAGTGCCTGCTTTCCACCACCCTGTGTTCCAGCAAGGTTAGTACGAGCAGCATCCTGGCTTCCCTCGAGGGCGCTGCCTGCTGAGTCCCCTGCATCACTGGGCCTTTCTTTATTACCACCTCCAACCTGGTGTTGTGACGTCACCTCACAGGGACAGCATGTAGCTGAACTTGTCCTCCCTGGCCATGGACAGGACCACGTCTTGGCACAGTCCATGGCGAAAACAGAAAGCACCCCAGCTTGAATCTTGACAGTGGGCAGCAGGAGGTTTCAGTAGGCACACACTGAGTCGTGGTCAAGCATCCCATAAGCTTATCGTTCCTGCAGAGGCCCAGAGGAGGGGCCTTCTGAATAGGCCACAACCCAGTCCCCAAAGCCTGGTTGATGCATGTTGCAGGAGGTGACAGTGTCAATGTAACTATTTCTCAAGCTCAGCTGCTCAGATACTAGATTTCTAACAGAAGCACTGGCAGTGTGGTGGGCTACAAGCTTCACTGCTAGTCACGAGGTCAGAGGTTCAAGCCCACCAGCCACTCCATGGGAGAAAGATGAGGGTTTCTGCTTCTTCTAAGATTTACAATCTTAGAAACTCTATATGAGTCTGAACCGACTCCACAGCACGTAACAACTGCTGCTGAATCTGCGCCAACTCATAGCGGTCCTTTAGGATGGCATTTCCTCAGCCATACATCTTTTTGGAAGCCAAACTCTTCATCTTTCTGCTGAGGAGAGGCTAGTGAGTTTGAACCGGCGACCTTTCAGTGAGTGGTCCAGTGCGTAACCCAGGGCTCCTCGACATGTGTAGCTACATACAAGGGCGCTTCAAACAGATCATGGGAAATTTTTCATTCATTCTCCTTGAATTCCATTTTCCTCTCCCTCGGACAAGGTAGTGTGAAGCAGCCCTCAGTTTCTGAAGGGAACCGTCCTTGTCGTCAGCTGAATTGTGTCCTAATGGATCCCAGGACCTTATGATGAGACAAGCTTGTAAATGGGGAAGCGGCAGAGACACCCCTGAAATTTGAGTGGTTTCCCAAGTTTCCGAGTAAGAGCTGACAAACACATAGATTAAGACTATAAGGATTCTTTGTCCGTACTGGTCTGTGGCCTTGTCGTCCCGCACAGCCCCTTTGGAGCTGTTTGTAACAGCTACTCTCGGGGAAGGTTCCAGAATTCTTAAGTGGAGGGGGTCTTGGTACAGGGGCCTGGAGAGCAAGTGTGAACACAGCTCTCTCCTGACATCCCAGAAGTGAGTGCTTCAGCCCCCCTGACCACCTCCTACCTATCCCCTGCCCACCTGCCTGCCAGTCCTCGCCTCCTCCAAGATCACGTGTTGCAGGTTGAGCAGAGGAGATAGGGGCTATCCTTGGCACCTACTATGCGCCCAGCACAGGGTGGTCTTATTTTAAGTGGGGGGCTTGGGATCTGGTCACAGAGGACTCTTCTCCCTATGTTAGCCATTTTGGAGTCACCCCATATGAGCACGGAGCCTTGGTGGCACTGGGGGCTAAGCATCAAGGTAGGAAAGGTCGGTGGTTCAAACCCAAGAGTTACTCTGTGGAGGGTGAGGAGACTGTCTGCTTTTGTAAAGATTGCTGCTATTAGCTGCTGCTGAGTCGGTTCCGACGCACGGAGACCCTGCGCACAACAGAACAAGACGCAGTCTTGGACCGTCCTCATTACACTGATGCCCATGGCTGCTGCCTTGATACCAATCCATCTGTTGGAGGTCTCCCTCTTTTTGCTGACCTTCCACTTTACCAAACATGATGTCCCTTCTGATAACATATCCAACGTATGAGAGACAAAGTCTCATCATCCTGGCTTCTAAGGAGCACCCTGGCTGTACTTCTTCCAACATAAACCTGTTTGCTTTTCTGGAAGTCCATGGTACTTTCAATATTCTCCTCCAACACCATAACTCAAATGCACCAATTCTTCAATGGTTTTTATTCGTATGAAGTAATAGAAAATACCATGGCTTGGGTCAGGCACACCTTAGTCCTCAAACTGGTATCCTTGTTCTGAACACATTACAGAGGTCTTCTGTAGCAGATTTGCTCAATGCAATGTCATTTGATTTCTTGACTGCTGCTTCCATGCGGATCCAAGCAAATCAAAGTCTTTGAAAACTTCGGTCTTTTCTCCATTTATATGGATGTTGTTTATTGGTCCAGTGAGGAGGATTTCTGCTTTCTTTACATTGAGGTACAACCCATACCGAAAGCTTTGGTCTTTGATCTTCAACAGTAAGTATTTTAAGCCCTGTTCACCTTTGCAAGCAAGGTTTATCATCTGCATATCGCAGGTTGTTAATGAGTCTTCTTCCACTCCCGATGCCACGTTTATGTTCATATAATCCAACTTCTTGGATTACGTGCTCAGTGTCCAGATTGAACAAGTAAGGTAACAGCCCTGGGAAACTGGTGACACAGTTCTGCTGTGCCCTGTGGGAATGCTGTGAGTAGCATCAACAGGAAACAAACATGACCAGTGGACGATTGCTTTCTGTAGTGAGAACCGTTTCCCTGTTAGGAAACTAAGCTGAAACTGCGTCCAGAAAGCCAATGTGCAAAGTCAAGCCAGGAAGTATCGGCTGGTTCTGGAAAGACAAGAAGAATTTTGTAAAACTCCTGGCATCTACCCAAGGTGTGTGGTAACCCAAAGAGGGAAAGCTCCCAGATCTCTAGTGGTTCTAACTCCGGAGTGGCCACATGGAGCCAGCCTGCTAGCCAGAGAGCACCTTCACTGGAGTCGGCAGGCAAGTCCTCACGACAGGGAGCCAGAGGGGAGGAGCGTACGAGAAGTGACCAGCTGCTGGACTGGCTCTGAACCAGCCACCCACTATGCCTGGTCAGCTGTAGTGGGCCCACAGGACTGGCCAGAGTGAAGAGCTCAGCCCCAGCCTCTTTCCCCAGCCCCTGGTTTTAGGGTCCTTTTTTGCCTTGGGAAGCCCTTGTTCCAGACAGGCACTTCCTCCTGGGGTGAGCTGGGGATGGGCAGGAACAACGTTGAGTGCCCTCTGCCTCCTGTTGCCTCGGGTCTCCAGATAGCTTAGACCAGGATTTAGCCTTAGGGGCAGTTTCCTAGAAGCACACATCCCGGGAATGGGCCAGTCTTTTAGGGGTGGGCACCTCCCCAGGGGTGGGGCCATATAAAGGCACCTCTTGAGGATGGGTCCATCTCCAGGCCATGTCCCAGGGGGTGGGGTTGTCCTACTTGCGGTAGGCCTGTTTCCTGGGGATGGGATTCATTCCCTGGGGGTTGACCATCCCCCTGGGGTTGGGCCTGTCCCCTGGGAGTGGGTCCGTCCCTGAGGGGGTGGGCCCCCTCCTAATTGGGTGGCTGTAGTCACAGCAGGCGCCACACCTGAGCCTGGGTCAGGCAGGTTTTCTAATTCAGCTCCAGGATTGACTCCTGGCAGGCACCAGGTGGGACATTTTATGGCTGAAGGAGGGAAGGCGCAGGGTTATAATGAAAGCACTAACCGCAGATGTGTGGTGTTAGATTTCTCAATAAGCAAGGTAAGCAGGTACCCACTGTGCTTACTTTATAGTCATCTGTAGCCAACAGGTTCCCACTTTTTCACATCAAGATTCTGCTGCCGGGTCTGGCTGGCATCTGCCTGTCTCTCCCACAACCCCTTCTACCAGAATCAAAGTCTTTTTTCCACTTTACAATCTCTGACAAGGACGGAAGAAGCTCTGGTGTCGCGGTGGTGCAAACGCCCCACTGCAAACCCATGAGCCACTCCTTGGAGAAGGAAGAGGCGGTGCGCTCCGTGCCCTCGATTCTCCAGCCCTCTAGGGTCACTGTGAGTCAGAATCGACTCCACGGCGCCAAGTTTGTTTTAAATCTATACCGGGACTTGTTTGTTTTTGTAAGACAGCTCACAAAAGTAGGCATTTAGGTGAAGCATGTGAAGTTACCATCACTGTGGCCTACGTGGCTGTCCCCTGGCAGTTTCACATGACCCAGCGTCTTCCCTTGGATGATTCCTCACAAGATGACTGTTCCAGTGTGTGTGCTCAGTGGCCACTCGGCTGGCTTTGCTGACCAGGAGCCGGGGGGTCTAGGCAGGCAACTTTTTTCTTGAGCCAGGACAGATGGAGTTTCGGAATTCCTGAAAGTTCGGCTTACCCTGCTGGTGAATATGTACGCGATGGATTGTTGGATAAAGCCTGGTTTCTCATCCAGTGTTGCTTTAGCTGCAGTGTGGGCACTTTCTGAGGGGAGAAACAAGAGAGAGAAGTTTTGGGGGTTTGCTATTCTGACTTACTAAACATGTCAGCTGTATCCTTTTTGTGGCTTATCCCACAAGGAAGCATTTTGAAGGAGGCAAGTCCCTCCTCCCCTGAACCTCTTCCAAAGGTCAGTTTTATTTCTTTGGAATCATTTTCTCACTGAGACGTAACGGGGCCATTGACTTCATTCTGTGTCATGATGAAGTAGATGTAAGCAGGTCTGTACTGCTCCCTAATGCCTTTAAGTCCACTGAGGACAAGCTCTTGGGGCTGCCTGTAGGCCAGTGTCCCTAGCAGGAAGACAAAATGGCATGGGCTTCGCAGACACCCTTTTTCAGGGTGGGCTTTCTGGAGTCACAGAAACAAAACACCACAAGTGAGTGGTTTCAACAAGCATCCGCTCCTCGTCTCCCAGTTCTGAGGTTGGACGTCCGGATGTAGGGTCCACCATGGCAGTGTGCTGACTAGTCCAGTGGAAGGTTCTTCCTGGTCTCCTCCAGTTTGCGGAAGTCCCTGGAGGTACATCTCCAAATGACCTATTTCTTCTTGTGTCTTTCATCACCTTCTTCTGAAAGGACACCACTCAGGTGGGACTAGGACCCACCTTGCCCCTGTATGGCCTCCTTCATGTAACTGGTAACATCTTCAAAGACTCTAATTCCAAACAAGGTCACAGTCCCAGGTACAGAGGTCAGGATTTCAACACATTCAACTCTAAACACCTTCTGTGTAAACCCATTGCAGTTAGATCATTTCTGACTCATGGTGACCCTGTAAGGCAGGATAGAACCT